TCAGAGTTGGAAGGGACCTATCTTTAGGGGTGGTTGGAGTCAGTTCCTTGCTTCACAGGTGATAGCTCCAAGCCAAGGAGGGGCAGGGGCTTGGGGCAGAGCCAGGACCAGCCCTCAGGACCCTGGCCTCCTGGTCCTGGGCTCTCTCGCCCCCCACTGCACCACCTCCAAGTGGCTGTCTGTCTGTCCCTGTGTGTGTGAGTGCTGGGCTGGGCCCCGGGGTGGGAGGGTATCTATGTAGCACTGATTGTCTTAGCTCAGAGCTGATGGATCCTCTCCATAGACAATGACACTTTAAAGATTGCTTTTTTTTTTTTTTTAAGTTTTTCCTATTTGTGTGTGTCTTTCCCCTCAGGCTCCTGGGTCTACCGCTGCCTCCTGGTGCCCTAACCTTGAGGCTGAGTGCGCCCCACCCATTCCTGTACTGAGTTCTAGGGAAGGGCCTAGACAAGTGAGGGGAGCCAGAGCCAGGGGCCAGCTCTGAGAAAGGGGGACCTCACGTTTCCCTTTCCCGGAACTGGAAATGCAGACAACTGTTCAAAGGCACGGGCTCCCCTTGCCAACCTCCAGCATCTTCCTTGGTGTGTGGTGGGCCCAAGTTAGGAGTAGGTGGCTTGCTCCCAATTCTTATCTCAATGGGGAGAGGTGCCCAGACGGATTAAGGTCACTTCAGTGGGGAATCTGGAGGAAGTGGGGCACAACATCCTGGCTCCTTCCAGTCACATCAATCCGGATTCAAAGTGTGTCCAGCTCCCGACCACTTTGACTTGATCTACTGAAAAGTTGGGGCCTGGGGGGGTGCCTTCATTGCCCTTTGTTCCCTTCCTCCAGCCCAACTTGGGACTCAGGTGGCAGGACTGGAGACCCAAACCCTGACTCCCAGCCCCGTTTTCCCCCTATCCATCCCAGCCTGTCTCAATGTAGCAGAACCTTCCTAGGGGAGCAGGGAGGGGAAGCCAGAGTTGCAAACCCAGGGGCCCCTTTTACATTCTTTCTAGAACCTCCTTTATAGCCTCAGCCCAAAAGGCAATGCCCCCCTCCTCTCACTTCCAAGCCTGGAATTGTGCATAACCCGGATCTTGTATCTTTGTATAACGGATGTTATTTGTACGAAGGGCAGTTCATAAACAGCACTTGTTCTTTTAATAAAAGAATGTTTTACAAAAAAAAAAAAAAAAAAAAAATCCAAAGACCCCTGCTTTGTCTGGCTTTACTGAAGGGAAAGGGAGGGGAGTGCCAACGGTGGGAGCCTTGGGAGGGGGTGGGGGGAGGGGTGGTCTGTTACATTTCTTTAGGTTCACAGACCAGTACGCGCAGGACCCCCAGGTTCCTGCTGGGGACTCAGATACCTGCGCCCACCCACAAGGCGCTAATGCGTACGCCCGGGCCGGGCGGGAACCGGCGGCAAAAGCGAGCTCCCTGGGCCGAGCGGGAGCCGCGCCGCACTCCTGGAGACGCGGCCTTAGCCTCCGCCTGAGCCGCCGGCTCCCGGGAGCTCCCCGCCCACACCGGGAGGCGCGGGCCGCGAGCGCCGAGGCGATGCTCCCGGAGCGGGCGCCCCCTCCGCACCCCTCCGCCGGGGGCCCCGAGGAGGGGGCGGGGGCCGGCCGGGCTTCCGGCGGCGGCGCGGGGAGGGGGGCACCCCGGACGGCGCAGGCCCCGGGCCCCACCCGCGCGGAGCCCCGCGGCGTCTTCCGGGCCGCGGCGGGCTGGGCCGGCCGGCCGGGCGGGGGCGGGAGGTGACCCGGGCGCGGGGCGGAGCCGGCGCAGCGCGGCGGCGGGGACCGGCGTGGGCGGCGGCATGGGCGGCGGCGTGGGGGCGCCCCTGCGGCCTGCGGCCTGGGTGAGCGCCCCGACCCCGCTGCCTCCCTGCTGAGCGTCCCCAACTCCCATTTCGCCTGGTGCCTTGCAGCCCTCCCTCTCTGAGCGCCGGCCGAGTGCAGCCAGCGGCGCCCAGCACCTCCACTTCCTGTCTTGTGACCCCTTTTTCGTACCCTCTTGTTTCTCCTACGCCCCAGTCCCTGGCGTCTCGTCCCTTCTGGATGACTTCCCTCTGGAAATCCAACGCTTTCCACTGACTTTTTCTCCCCCATCCCTGCTTCCAAACCACCGTCTAGTCCTGCCTGCGTACCTTTCAGAAGCTGAACCAGAGGCGGGACATCTCCTCCTGGCTGGTGAGTACCCCATTTCCCCTTCCCTCCGCCCAAGTCCCCCAGGCCCAGAGACGCCAAAGGTAGAAACCAGAGAACCAACCAGAAGGGGTCAGCCCTACTTCCCAGCCTCCAATGTCAGAAGACCCCTGCCTGTCCCCTTCATGATGGCTCGGGGGAGGTGGGGTGACCAGAGGGCCCAGGGCAGGAAGCCAGGCTTCTCCGCTGGGAAGAGCAGCGCCCTCCGGCCTGATAAACACAGCGCCAGGGACAGGTGACCCCACTTAGGCTGGCAGGATCCTGGCCCTCCCCTTCCTGGCCCCCAGGTGGGAGTTTGAAAGGGAGGCCGCTGGGCGCAGAAACTGGAGTGCCTGCGTGGGCTTGAAATCTCTTCCCTGTCTGAAGCTCAGGGTCCTTATGGTGTCCTGGGGAATGCCCTTGTGGGGTGGCATCCTGCCTCCTGCAGAGGAAGATTGCCCTAGGCCGGGGCCACTGGGAACCTGGACAAGGCCATAGGCAGGAAAGTGCTTCCAGGGCATGGGCTGACCCAAGCCCTTCGTCTCCCCATGCCACAGATCCGATGGTTCCCTAAAACCCCAGCCAAGTCCGTGGTGGCCCTGAAAACGCCCATCAAGGTGGAGTTGGTAGCCGGGAAAACCTACAGATGGTGTGTGTGTGGCCGCAGCAAGAAGCAGGTGAGAGCCCCCTACCCACGTCTCATTAACACAGGACACCCTGGTTGGGACAGTAGGTCTCTCCTGGGAGCTCCTGCCCGAGACCCTCCTCTTTTCCCACACATACCTGAAGGACAACAAAGGGAGGTTGGGGGTGAAGGAACGCTCTCAGGCCAGTGCCACCCACAGCCCTGAGCTCCCTGTTCCCTGTATCCACCCTTTGAGATGAGGCCAGGGAGACAGAAGGTCAGTCTCATGGCCAGGCCGCTGGAGCCCAGGGTCATGTCCCCCGCTTCCGGTGCGCCCTCCTTGGAGCCTCGGCCTGGACTCCCTGCTCTAAGCACCCAGGCGCCGGGTTGGCTCTCTCCCCTCCTCTCCCTCCTTCCAGGAAGCACCTGAGCCAGAGGTTCCCAGGCCTTGGACCCCAACACTGGGACGACCGCGGGCGCTCCTGCTCCCAAGAGCCCCTCTCCACTGTCTCCTGCAGCGCGTCTCTCTCTCTCTCTCTCTCTCTCTCTCTCTCTCTCTCTCTTTCTCTCGGCTGCGGGTGGTTCCCTGGTTCCCTGCTGCTACCTGCTCTCACCTCCCTCTCCCTTCCGCCCCAGGAGCCTTCCTTCCAGCCCGAACCTGACCCATATGCCCAGCCTCCTGGGCCCCTTTCCTTCCTGAGCTGGGCTCTGAACTGTGTGCCTCGAAGCCGTGTGAAGCCCAGGTCCCAAGTCCTGCTTTGCCCCGGACTTGGCTGTGGACTTGGCTGGGCGCAGTCCGGCCCCAGGGCGTGGCAGCACGAGAGGAGTGCCCTCGGCCCTGTGGCCTAGTGCAGGCTGGCCCTCTGCCTTCCTGCCTTCTGCCCTCTGGGGCAGGTTACTGGGTTTTATTTGCGGCCTTCTCTCATCTCTCCTCCCACCCTACCCTGACCTCAAGGGTCAGCAAGTCAAAGCCAGTTTCCATGACCCAGTCTCTGCTGGAACAGCTTCCAGGGAGGATGGGGAATGTTCTCCTGCACCAGACAGCCGGTTTACCCTTCCTCCCTGCCACATCCAGTCCCCGTAACATGCCCCCTTGTTTCCCCGGAGCCAAACAAAATGGATACCCCAGTCGCAAAGCATTGTGAGGCATGTAGGTTCTCTCCCACGCAGAGAAGTTTTTACCCTGAGAAAATGTGGAAGGAAATGAATTTATGAGCTAGTGGAGACTCAGAGACATTGAGAAAGAACAAAACAAAACTATCAGTGTAAACATTGCTGATACCAAAAGTCCCGCTTCACCTTGAAAATTCTGTCCCCGTATCCCAGTCTTCTGGGGCCCCCAGAGACAAATATTGTAAAGCCTCCTACTTAAGTGGGCAAAGTGCCTAAGAACCACCATTTATTCCATTTCCTTGGCACGGCTCTCCTCTCACCCCTCAAATGAGAGAGGTCAATGAGGACACCCCGGCGGTCGCACTCGGGAGTCCGAGCCCTAGACACAGCGTGCCCGTGCCCTTCCTTCCAGACCTGCGCCACCCCAGCAGGTGGGGTTGGGTCTCTAACGTCTCTTTCCCTCACCAGCCCTTCTGTGACGGCTCCCACTTCTTCCAACGCACTGGCCTGTCCCCACTCAAGTTCAAGGCCCAGGAGACCCGCACAGTGGCCCTCTGCACCTGCAAGGCCACCCAGAAGGCCCCATACTGTGATGGCACCCACCGGAGTGAGCGGGTGCAGAAGGCAGAAGTGGGCTCCCCACCCTGAGGGCCTGGCTGCTGCCTAGCCCCAGGCCTCTGGCAGGCACCCCATTTGTGGGGAAGGAAACGGAGTGCTGAGCCCAAGAAGGGACCACCCAGGGACCCCAGTCCTCAGTGCTGGCTTGTGAAGGGCTTGCTCCCAATACCTGAGGTCTCTCGGGCAGTCAGGGAACACACCCCTGGCTCATCACCTGCTGGTGAAGGTGGTATTAAACACTGTGCCCACCCAGTGCGGTGCTCTTGTGGTCATTGGTGGGGGGCACACGGCCTACCCCCACTCGGGGTCCTAACCTGGGATGGGGCATCTGACTGGCCGCAGGGAGGGGGCAGTTCACATTCACTCCATATGGGGCCTCGCAAGGCAGGCCAAGCCCAGAGACGAGAGACATGAGGAGGAGGTGGCCAAAGGCCTCACCCACCCGTTCCCTGTCCCCTAAAGAACTACAGCTTCCGGAGAGTATGCAGCATTTATTACAAAGCCAGGAGATACAAATGTCCCAGGGCAGGAGGAGGGTACAGTCACGGCACCTCAGACACGGGACAAGGTGCAAACACAGACAAACCTGATGGGGGGGCTCCCGACCCCAAACACCTAGGTTGCAAGGGAATCTTGCCTCCTCACCTCCTCCCCGATCTGATCTATGTACATTGGAGGAAAAACAGGTGGGCAGGGATCTGCTGGGGTCCGCCCTTCGGGGGGCCATCCACTGACCTCTCGGGACGGAGCCAAGGTCAGAGCTTAAAGGTCTCCTCCACCTTCTTGTGCTTTTCGATGCCTCTGCGGCTCTGTCCTGACTCAGCCTCAGCTGGGGGTGGGGAGGGGACTGGAGGACTGTTGGCCTTTGGCACAATCTGGGATCTGTGCTTGTCTGAGATGAACCCCACTCCACCTTTTCACTGCACTCCGGGCCCCCAGGTGGGACTTCGCCAAAACCAGCCTTGCCTGTCGGGGCTCCCGGGTCGGGGCAGGGGCAGAACCGGGCCAAGCGTTTACCCTGCTAAAGCCACAGTGTAATTTCAAGGGCTGAGGCCTCCCGTGGCCTGAATCTTTTCTTCCGCAAGATAAATGATGCAAAGGCCACATACACGGGGGTGGGGGGTGTGGGGGGGGGCAGAACTATCTATTCTTTGCACAAAGTTTCCACTGCAAGAGGAGGAGGTGAGGGAGATGCATCTTTACCACCCACTCAATCCTCAGAACCAGGGGATAAACTGCATTTGTAAAAGGCACTGTCTTAGCGATTCTCTGGACATTCAACAATGGGGGCGGGGGGCACTGGCAGGGGCAGGACAGCAGCCGAGATGGGGGCAGAGAGGGCAGACCCCATACACAGCCGGCTGGAGTTGTGCCTAAAGCTTTGGGGGCTGGTAGGACTCCTGGAACACCCCATCTGCCTTGGGAAACGGAAGGAGGATGGAGCGGAGCTTTACTGAGCCTCAGGTGGCCCCTCCAGTCCACCTCCAGGCACCCCCAAAATGAGAGCAGGGCAAATTACACAAGACCTCCTAAAAATGAACACTCCACCCCCCACACATACACACACACATAAAGTTTGTTTCCTGTGGCATTTAAATTAATCTGGTTGGTCCATAGAAAATAAGTATGTATATTTGGTTTTTCCTATGTACATATATATATAGATTTATTTATAAAACCCGCCCCCCACCCCTAAGGCGGGAGGAGCTGGGGAAAGTAGAAGAGGTGGAAAAGGGGCCCAGAAAAAGTGGAGGGGTGGAGAGGCATGGCTGGAAAAGGAGGGAGAGGGTCCCTTTCCTCAAGTTAAGGGGGGCACAGGAGCTCCGTTGACAGTCATCTTGCGCCCCCTGCTGGTGGAAGATGGTGTCTGCAGGCAGTTCGAGGTACCCCCGTTGGCAGCTGTGGTGGTCCCACCGGCTGTCGCAGGGGGAGTGGGGGAGGTAGGGTGGGTGGCTGGGGGCCCGTGGGAGCTGGGAGAGCCATGGCAGGGGGTGGCTGGGCTGGGCAGGGAGGAGGAGGTGGCCGGCAGGGTGGCAGGGCTGGGAGCCTTGTCGCTGACTGACTCACACTCAGACGCCCCGCTGGTGTTGGTGCCCTCCGAGGGGGTGGGCGCTGTAGGCAAGGTGAGCCGCTTGCAGGCCGGCTGGACCCGATACTTGAGGGGGAGAGGGCCATTCTGCCGGGAGACGGGGCAGAGAGAGGCAGGGAAGGGGAGGATGTCAGGAGAAAGAGGCTAACCAGGCAGCTACCCAACCCTCACCCCACGTGCCCAAACAGGAAGAAAGGGCTCCAGGCCTTGGAGAGAAGGGGACAGGCAAAGCACGACTGACCGAAGCAAGGCCAGAGGCTGCAGAGACAGGGAGGCTGAAAAGCAGGCAGCAACATTTACTCCCCAACAGCCACCCGGCCCTCCTCTCTGACCCAAATCAGGGCACATCATCTGCCAAAGAATCCTCTTCGAGTGTGGCAGGTCATCATCGAAAGATGGCCCAGACGCTGGCCTGGTGTGGCAGGCCACCCTGGACACGCCCAGCTCATGGGACGAGGCGCGAACGGGGACTACCGGTCACTGGTCACTGTGGCCACAGACCGACGCCAGACCCTGCCTGGCTCCCCTCCCAGCCCTGTCCTCGCCCGGCTCCGCCCTGCTCAGCTCACCCGCCGCCACGGATAGATGTAGGCGATATCCATGAGAGTGTAGTATTCCTTCAGCGGTTCATCCTCGTAGAGAACCTCCACCTGGAGGAGGAGACGGAGGACACCATGACCCCGGTCAGGTTCAAGGCTCTAGCCATTTGGCAATGAGGCTCTAAGCTAGGGGTGGGCGGTGGGACACTGGGGAGGAGGGACTAGCAGGTGTTCCCTTATTTCTCTGGGGTCTCATGGTGGGTTTGACTTCCCTCCCGGACCTGTCCCAACAGAACTCCTGACCACCAGACGGGAAAGGATCCAGAGAAAGCACCCAGATCATTAACAACCCCTGCCCGCAGCCATCCACACAGCTGTCTGGGTCCCCTTATATCTCTGGCAGGTCCTCCAGGGCGCAAAGAAAAAGCCCAGGTGGGAAAGATCTCGCAGAGCACTAACTCTCACCCAGGCTGCAGTGGAACGACCCAGGGAGCTTTAAAAGAAATACCAATGCTTGCATCTCACCAGAGATTCTGATTTAATCGGTAGGACGTAAATCGGGTTTTAAAGCTCCCTGCGTGATTCTGATCTGCAGCAAAGTTCGGGATCTACTGTCCTAGAGCCTTGTTGATACCCAAAGTGTGGTTCACAGACTAGCAGCATTGCCAGCACCTGGGAGCTTGCTAGAACAGCAGAACCTACTGATCAGAATCTGCGCTTTAACAAGAGCTTCAGAGACTCACCGACACATTCAAATTTGAGAAGCAACGTCCCGACAGCGCCGCTGGAATTTCAGACTGGCCTTCCTTCAGCCAGCTGGCCCCAGATAAGACCCAGTATTTTTGCACACATGCCTCTGCCACAGTTCTGAGCGTGTAAGCATGAGCGTGTGCACACGCGCGCACACACACCCCCTCCATCTTGGTCCCATACACCTCTGCACACTGGTTTCAATGGATGAAGACTACCCCACCCTGACCTTGGTTTCAACTCGAGCTCAATCACACAACCATGCAGGCCCTCAAGGACACCGAGCTAGCTCAGAGCAATGGCTGGGACGCACAGATTGTCAGATAGCCACACACAGACACTTAGTTTCTGAAAGGGCCCGGGGACTCGCCTTGTACTTGCTGGGCACATCCATCTTGTTGCGAAGAAACTTGGCGAGATGCATGACGGTCATGGCCGCTGGGCATTGCAGGAATCGCACCCCTGTCTGCCGGGGGAGAGGCACCCAAGGGCTGGGGTCCATCCAGGCACTCTTTCCCAGCCCACATCCCACTCCTAAGCAGGTCCCCAGCACTCACCTTCTCCTTGTCCCCATCCCCATTCTCCAGAGGACCCTTCTTTTCCTCCCGGTCCCTGGTGGAGGACAAAGAACGAAGCTAGGGAGACCCTGGAACAGGGGGGATCCCCTAATGCACACATCCAGAAGACCCTCCCGGAGGTACCTTCTCTTCCTAGGGGAAGGGGGCCAGGGTGGGAAAAAGGGGCGACCCAACCTAGGACCCCAAAAGACCAGGTGTGGGTCAGACTTGCCTGACGCCTTCGTAGAACTCGATGGAGAGGCTGACAATCTCGTTGTCGCTCAGAGCCCCCTTCTCCTGCTCCAGGACCTCGCCGCGGTCCTCATTGGAGCCGTTGGGGACTGCGGAAGGAGAGGGCTCTGAGAGGTTGGCCCAGGACGGGGGAATGAGGCCCGCCAAGGACCCCGGGATCTCGCAGCTCGGTGGGGTGAGCCCAGCCATCCTGTGGGCCGGGGCAGCGGCGAGCTGGTATGTCATGTGCAAGACGGACAGCCTGGTGCGTCCAGCCCGAGTGCCCAGGGCAGCACTGCGAGCGCTCGTGCGGACAGACAGGTAAACACACTCACCTTCAGTCAGGGGGTACGCTGCATAGAAATCCCGCCGTCGTTTCATCTCATCTGGAAGAGGGAGGCAGAGTGAGGATGGAGCGCCAGGCAGGGCAGTGGGGGGCGGGGGTCAGGATGAAGGGTGTGTGGGTACCTTTAAAAAGCCCAGGGACCAATTTATAGACGATGTCTTGGAGAGTTTTGTCAGACCTGGAAAAAAACATAAAGAGTCCTATCCACGACCACCTCACCCTGATCTCCCCGGCCAGGAACCCCCATTCCCACCTCCCTTCCTTGATCCAGGGCCCAGGCATCAGGGTCCCTAGAGGTGTGGTCTTTACCCCTCTGGTATTTCTCAGCCTGGACAAGCTGGATACAAGACAGAGGGAGAGGAAGGGCCCTGGGCTGACACCCTGTGCCTCTCCCCAACCTGCCCCCGCGGCAATGGGAAGCAAGGAGGGCTGAGGGACAGAGGACCAGCATGGCAGGACGGGCAGCGCCAGGCCCACCTGATGCTCAGCAGCGGCCTGGTTTTATGGACCTGCACGTCACACATGGGGCAGTATTTGTTGGTCTCCAGGTAGCGCACGATGCAGGTTTTGCAGACTTGTGGGGGAGGGTGAGAAAGAAAGCAGAGTCAGAGCCCCCTTCGTAATCCAGGACCAGCACGCCCCCACGGCCTCTGCTCACATCCAGGTTGCCCCTCCTCTCCACGTTGTCCCCACAGCTCAGCCCCTTCAGAGGCTCAACATGGTCCTGCTTTCCACAGATGGCAATCGCCCCTGATCTGGCCCTGAGGGCATGTGTGCGTGTCTGGGTCGGACCAGCGCCGTGCACCAGGCAGAAAGTGAGCCCCAAGTCTGAGGGAGCGCAGCCCAGCAGCCAGCCTGCTGGACGCCTCCCAGAGTCCCCGACCCCCTTGCCGCCAAGCCCGGAGTGCATGCCAGGGGCACCTGTGTCTTCCGGGGTGGCCAGGGACTCTGGGAGACACCTGAGCATTCAGGTGAAACTCTGGGCTGCCCCCTCGAGTCTCCCCCACCCCGGACAGTCTTTCTGCGACCAGGGACCGCCACCAGATACATGGACACAAGCCCTCCCCGCAGCAGTGCCCCTCCAACCTGGGCAGAGACTGCCCACCCCGAGAAGCGGCCCCTCCACCCAGCTCACAGGAATGCAGGCACTCCACGATGGTGGTAGCGTCGATGAAGTACCCTCCACAGAGGGCACACATAAGGTGAGGATTCAGCTCCGTGATTTTGATACGTGTGGTCCGATGCATGATGCCGGGGTGGGGGGTAGGGGGCCTAGGGAGCGTCACCCTGAGAACGGAAAGTGGAATCAGAAACCCAGAGATCCGACGGCCCCTCCCACAGTCCCCTCCACACCACCCGGTATCTGTCCCCGAGCCCGAGGCCCTTGCTCTCTCTGCCTCTGAGGCCGGACTGGCGACACACACGGGGCCGCCTCTACCGGGCCCCCCTGAGTGTTCACTGGGCGTGGGGGCTCTGGAGATTCATGTGACCTTGACTGACAAGGTCAGGCTCCATCTCAAGAGCAGGAGCAAAGACTGAAGTGAGACCAACTCTCCAGAGGATATAGGGAGGCGGGAAAATGCGAGAGAACAGAGTTTTTAAAAACTTCCCTGATCCCCATCCACATTCTCTCAAATGAGTGCTAGGAGGTGAGGAACGTCGATCCCCCTCTACCCAGGTGCAAGCCCCCGCCTCGGTGTTTCTACTCCATCCGACCCTCCTTCCATCCCATCACTCTTCCCCCAGGAAGGCAGCCCTGGAAACACCGTGGGCACAGGCTGCCCTAAGTTTAGAGGAAGCACCCCATCGCCTGTCCTAGCTCTGCATCCAGCCTGGCCCCGGGGCAGCTTCCCAGAAATCCACCGCACACTGGCCATGCAGGTGCTATAGGACTGGTGCTCAGGCAGGAAATACTAAGGATGGTTCTTCGATGCCCACAGCGGGGAACACGCAGCCCCAGTCAGACCCCGGCCCCGGCAGGTCATGGCCAAGAGCCTGGGCAAAAAAGACTTAGCCACCTTTCCCGGCCGGACAGCCCCCTGCACAGGTCCCCTGGACCCCACACACATTCCAGGACCCCTATCCCACGCACACACAGGGAATGCCCCACGTGGGCATCGTCTCCATGGGCTGCGACCTGTCCACAGGCTGTCCAGTGACAGACCCCCAAGCTCTCAGAGATGCCTGCCAAGGCTGGGCAGAAAGTTCTCTCCGCAGCAGCCCCGAGCACCCAGCCAGGCCTTGGCAGGGTCTGCGGAGGTCAATCAAGGCCCAGCTCTGGGTTGGCTGATGTGCTTAACTTCTTGGTATAGAAATCAAACCTGCACCTAGAAAGGAAGCCCCCCCGCCCCAACTCTTTCCCAGAAGAAAAGCCCAAGGGGTGGGGCTCGGGAGGGTGGCCAAGCCCCAAGGACTCCTTCACAACACACACCCTTCTCTCCTTTCCAGAAAGATTTCTAAAGCCACCACATCGGGTTTTCTAGGACCAGAAATTCACAGCCAGGATCAACAGTTTCTATAGAGACCCCAGGATGAGTTTGGCCAGGACCCAAACAGCCAACAGAGGCTGGCCAGAGACCGAAAGAGATGGAGAGACACAAAGGCCACATGTGGGAGAGACACCAAGTCTGCAGGGCAGACAGAGGGAAACAAGTGAGCCCAGAGAGGCAGCGAGACGCCGCGGCCGGGAAGTGCAGGCCTGGCCTAAGGAAGGAGAGGGGTGCCTGTCCCACAGAGGGCGGCCCCCAGCCCTCCCTGCAAGGGCTCCCCCTTCACAACCCCGGCTACTCCACTGTTTGCTCGTTTCCATGGTAACCCCCTCCCTGGCAAGATGCCCAAATATTATTACAACCATCCAGAGGAGAGAGCAAACTCCAAGTGGCTGTCTCGCTGAGTGTGTGTAATATCCATGGGCTGTGGACGTGACGTCTGGGACCCCGTGTTCGGGTCCAGCTGAATCTGTGTGCGCATGCACGGCCAGAAACGGCACATTCTGGGTGATGCTGGGTGTCACGCCACCGTCTCTCCCGCTCACACGCACGCACATGGGTACACACACACACACACACACACGTGCTTCCCCTGCCTAAGTCACCTCATTCACACACTGGCTGTGTTTTCGAAACAAGACACTTTCTCTTAAGAACTCTCATCCAGTTCCTGACTGTGCCCCCCCCCCACACACAGGAGTTCCCAGGCAAGTGGCCATGACCTTTACCCTTTCACTTCCCTTAGCATGCGTGAGAACTCAGACAGAGATTATCCCTTCTAGATGCAGGGGTCAAGGAAGGAGCTGTGGTGCTTAGTGAATGAAATATTCCTCCTTCTCTAGTGTAAGAACCGGCCCCACTGCAGCACTCCCTCTCCCCCCACCTCATCCCCAGGGGCCTCACACTGCTACCTCTGGGGCTGGGTGCGGGGAGAAGTACTGATTGGCTCCTCACCTGATTGCCATGGCTACCTGCAGGTCCCTACCAGCAGGTGCCAAGAACAACTGTAAACAGGAGCTCAGTTCCCCCACCTCGCACCCCCCCCCACCCCAGGCCTCAGGGCCCTACACCTGACACCCAATTCCTCCCCAGCTGCAACTGGCCGGTGTGTTGTGGGAAGGAGAGGGGAGAGGGGAGAGGGGTGCCAGTGGCTGGACCTCCAGCTGTCATCACTCTAAGGAAGAGGTTGGTAGATGGGAAACAGCCCCAGCGAGAAAGAGAGACAAAAATCCGTGAAGAGGCCATGGGCCATTTGGAAGTGGCTTCTGTGGAGTCCTGGGGCTTTACCAGGTCACTCCCAAGGATATCACCACAGGGACCTGAGCACTGTCCCCCTCCCCCCCCAACTGCAGCCAAGTCCTTTAACACCTTTTGTCCCCAAACCACTGTCTTTGCAAGAGCATGATCACTGGGCAGCCCATGTTCCTGGCCCCTGGGGATCCAGGTCTGGCCTACAGTGGCAGCAAAGGACCTTGGGTCAGCACCCAGCACCCAATCCCAGCTCCTCCTGGCCTTTCAAGCCTGGCACTTGTCTTTGCCCTTCCTCAAAGCCCCTACTAATTAGAGACCACCCCCCATCTCTCTGTTCTAGCCGGTCTTTTTGGGACGCTACCTGCAATTTAAGCCTCTCCCACTGTCAGGTTTTGTTTTGTTTGTCTTGTTTTTCATTTTCCTCTGCTGAAATAGCCTGTCTCTGATACCCCAGAGACCCCTGCTCCTTCAGATGCCCCCAGACAGCATTCTCTGCTCTGCCTTTCCTCCACATGAAATCAGCCCCACTCCCCCACTAGAAAATCACCAGGCCTTGGGAAAAGTCACTCAAGGTCACATCCGGACACCTAGAATTGCAGAAGTAGAACAGATCTTAGAAAGCCCCTTGTCCAGGGGCTCCTGGGTGGCTCAGTGGGTTGAGTGTCCAAATCCTGATTTCAGCTCAGGTCATGATCTTGGGGTGGTGAGATGGAGCCCCACATTAGGCTCCATGCTCAGCTTGGAGTCTGCTTGAGAGTCTCTCTTCCTTTCCCTCTGCTCCTCCCCCTACACCCACCCCGCTCTCTCTCTCTCTAAAATAATGAATACATAAATCTTAAAAAAGAAGAAAGGAAGGAAGGAAGAGAAAGAAAGAAAGAAAGAAAGAAAGAAAGAAAGAAAGAAAGAGAAAAAGAAAGAAAGAAGGAAAGAAAGAAAGGTAGGTAGGTACTTGGGTGGCTCAGCTGACTTCACAACTTAAGCATCTGCCTTCGGCTCAGGTCATGATCTCAGGGTCCTGGGCTCAAGCCCTGCAGGGAGCTCCCTGCTCAGCAGGGAGTCTGCTTGTCCCTCTCCCTCTGTCCCTTCCCCTGCTTGTGCTGTCTCTCACTCAAATAAATAAAATCTTAAAAAAAAAGAAAGGATCTTGTCCAACCCTTTCATTCTCCAGATGAAGAAATTCACCTAAGGTCACCCAGTAACAAAGTGGCAGTCCTAGAATAGAAACTGCCTGACTCCCATTCCAGTGCTCTTTACACACTGGCACCCAGGCCAGGCTCCCCACTCATTTAAGAAATCAATAAGCCTGGCCCAACTCCATCCAGGCAGGTAGAAGGTAGGACTCCAGGCTCCCTAAAAGACCACTCAGTGAGCCTTCTGGGAGGGGTGAGAGTCTGGCCCAAACATGACCTTCAGAACACATTCTCACCTTGAAGTAGATAGAGGGGCAGAAACTAATCCCCTCACCCCACTTCCACGGAACAGGTAGGAAAACTGAGGCTCCGTGGAATATACTAGGTCCATTCCTCTCCTAGCTGTGTGGGTCCAACTGCACGAGCTCTGTGTATTTGCATGTGGAGGGGGAGTATAGGAGTCTGCCTGCGGACAATGTCAACCTCTCTGTGTTCCCTGACCCTTGACCCTGGGACCTGCCCCTCCCTCCAGCAGCATCGGAACATCCTCTAGTCTCCTGAAACTGGGCTTAATGTGCCCTGCCTTTCCCCCTCTCAGCTTCCTAAGACCAAACAAAGACAAAAACCCAAAATATACACACAGAGCTACACACCGCCGAATACACACAGATGCACACAAAGCCAGACACACCCCCTCCATCTCTCTCACACAACACCCAAGGCCAGACAGACACTTGGCCAGACACACGCACGTATACGTACCAGGCCAGACACACCCCATCACACATACAGCCAGACCAGAGCCAGGCCCACACTTGCCAGATGCACAAGCCACCCCCACCCACCCCAGAAGTACACAGTCTGACATGCCCGCCTGAAACCAGACCTGCAAATACACACTAACCTTTTGTGCATCCCTGGTCCACCCAGCGTAAATTGTAACATAAGTCTTCCAGCAACAAAGGCAGTGCAGCTCCCAACTCCACTCTGGGGGCCAGAGGCTGGAGGAGCAGGGTGGGCATCTGACCTGCACAAAGATGTAGCCTCTTCCTGCTCAGGCTCTCTCCATTCCCATGGCAACAGCTCCATCAACCAATATCTCTCCCGCAAGGCCAGGGGCAGCAGAGAGCACCCCCCCTTCCTGCCCACCCCCAAAGACTTCAACTTGAACCCCACTCAAGCTACACAGGGTCCCGATCCTGCGTCCAAGGTCTCACCCTGGGTCTGTTTCCCGGCCTCCTTCCAGAGACAGCTCTAAGACCTCAACCCCCAACTCCAAACCAGGGAACCCCTGGGAAAACCTCCCTACCCAAAAGCTGCAACAGAGCTGGCTTTATGCTCCTTCTCCCAAGTACTAACACCTTGGAACAGAGTGGAGACGGGAGGAAGAGAAATTAGAGTTTCAGGAACAGATACAAACTGCAAGAGGCCCAGAGAAGGAGGCATCAGAACAGAGCGGGAGACAACCGGAGACCAACCCCCCCTTCCCCCTCAAGCCACAGGGAGTCCGGGAGAGACTGAGGCATATATATGTATGCGGAGAGGGGTTACTCCAAGAGACAAAGACCAGGGAGAAGCGCGGAATAACACTTCCACAATATTTACAGGCAAATTCCCCACCCCCAGGCCTCTTCCTTCCCCACCTCAAGCCATCCGGAGCAATTCTGGGCAGATGGGGGCAGTGGGGGAGGGGGAGAGGCATGCCTGGGCCCACTGTGGAGACTGGAGGGGCAGTGGTGTCTGCTGGCCGACAGGTCCCACCCCCTCAGAGCTAGAGGCAGGAAGGCCAGGGCAGGGAGGGGGCGGCCCGGCTCTCCAGGAAAAGAGGGGGCCGTTCGGTCAGACCCCTCCTGCCTCCGCTGGCGATAGGAAATATCGCGATAACCCCCCCCCCCATCTCCATTCTACTCCCTCCTCCCGGGCTTCCCCCGGAGCCTGGGTCAGAGGATCAGGGATCCCAGTTACCCGGTGGCCGCTCCTACCTTCCCTAGAGTCAAACTTTCGGCGGGGCCCAAGGAGGGGGTGTTCCAGAGAAAGAGGCTCTGCCGAGGTGGTTCGGGGAGGGGGCGGGGCGCCCGGTCCTGGGGCGGGGGGGGGGGGAAAGACCCGCTGGGGGGAGGTGCCCGGGAGGCCGGGGACCCGGGCAAGGAGGAGCGCCCTCCCCCGGCCCCGCAGCAATCAGAAAGGCATGTCGCCTGGCTCCCGGCCTCAAGTCCTTGCGCGTCCACGACGCCCCAGTGCCCACGGCAGAAGCAGAGAGCGACCCCTCCCCAAACCGAAGGGGGTAGTTGGGGAGGGCCAGGGGCTGCTCTGGCTCGTGGGGCGGGCGAAGGGGTTAGAGATCCGGCCCGGCGCGTAGCCCACAGCCCCTGGGGCTGCCTCGGACCCTCCCCCTCGCTACCTCGGGAGCAGGTCTGCGAGGGGGCTGCGGCACAAAGAGGTGGTGGTCGAGGGAGACGCCAAATCGCTAAAAGGGGGAATCCATTTCGGCCATCTTGGAAGGGAGGAAAGGGAAAAGGGGAGAGAAAAGGGAGAAAGAAAGGCGGACGGGGCGAGCTAGGATAGGGGCTGGCGGGGTGGGGCGGGGACGCAAGAAGCAGGCCCGGCTCCGAGTCTCCCCCTCCCACAGGGGTGTGTAGAGAGGGATGGACCGGCCCCCCCCATCCCCATTCTGGTTGCGTGGTAGGAGAAGGAAAGGACCGGGAGTCTGCCTCCACTTACCTGGGTTCGGGGTCCGGTGGGTCTCGGGGAGGGGGGGATGGGAGGGAGGGAGGGAAGGGAGGGGAGGGGGGCCGCAGCCGTGTCGCTCGCTCCGGCGGCGGGAGGGGAGAAACCTACGGTAAGAAAGGAGTTTGTGAAAGCGGCTTGGGGTGGGAGGGAGAGAGGGGAGGGGAGGGGACGGAGGGGGGAGGGGAGGGACCGGGGCTGGGGGGGGTACAAAATGGCTTTTTTCCTCCAGACAAGAGTAGGTCCCGCCCACTACTCACCCACGTGACCTCATTCCTTCAGGGTGTTCGCGGAGAGGGGAAGAGGAGGAGGGGGAGAGGCTAACGCGGCTGCCCCCACGCTGGGTGCCGGGCCCCCTAAACTGGGACACGACCTCACTCTTCCCAAACAGCCCCTGGCCCTGGAAGATGTATCCTCTTCTCTGTTAACCTCCTTAATTAACCCTCCCCCCAGAAAAAATGTGTGTGCGCCCCCCACCCCCTGACCCTGCGATCCCCGCCAATAAGCTGGGGCGCCTGGAAAATGGTGAAATGAGGACTGGGCTGAAATGTGTGGTTCGTTCTGCCGTCCTACCCGCCACGGCCTGGGCCGAAGGGCGATGGGCTCGGGCCGGGGATGGGCTCGGGCCGCGACGCCTCCGGCCACGCGTCCAGGGTATTTTCATTCACTCTAAGTGACACTCCCTTAAAATCAATAACTGCAATCGTGGGGGAGAGCGTGTCCTCCCCATCCCCCTGGCCCCGCTCAGCGGCCCGATCACCGGCTCTAAAAGGCAGACCCCCGGATCCAGCGGAGGCGCCTCGGAGGAGAGGCCTGGGGGTAGCCTGAGGGCGGGGGTCGGTTTGCTGGGGTGGAGGCTGGCGCCCCCCGCGTGCTCGCGCGGAGAAGAATGGAACGCAACCTGGGCCGGGGGACAGGCTGAAGACGCGGACTCAGGCTCCGGGTCTGGGACACAATAACCCGGTCGCATACGAGAGGCCCGACTGGACTAGAAAACCAGGCGCCGGGGCTCGAAAGTGGGCCCGCGCTTTTTCTCCTGCCTTGAGCTGCTTCCCGCATTTTTCTCCGGCCGCCGATCGCGCTTGGAGCTCTGCGCGGTTGGTGCGCCTCCCTCGCCCCGGCGGCGGGAGGAGCCCGGCGAGCGCAAAGGCGGCTGCTGCCAGTCCGCCTCCGACCGTCGCTCCCGGCTCCTCCCAGCGCTCGGGCTCCCGTCCCCAGTGGCTCCCGCCGGGAGGGGAAAACGAGGAGGGAGGCTTGGAAAGGCGGGGAGGAGCGGCCGAGGCTGGCGCCGGGGAAGCCAATCGATACCACGTTACGGCGACGACCCGGGCCCTGCCTCATTAGGACGGTCGATTCGCTTATTCGTTATTCAAGATTTATTAGAGATGGTCACTGGGTTTGTCCCTCCAGAGAGCTCGATTATCTGGCCAGACGGGCCATTAAGCGCACTGGCGGTGGGTGGCTCGAGTTAGGAAATTAGGAGACAAATCTCCCGCAAGGTTCGGAGTGCCTGCCTCCTCCTCTTGCCTCCGCGCTCGCAGCTCAGGCAGAGCCGAAGCTGGGCCCCCCGGACTGAATGCTTTCACCCTTTTTGGCCAGCGACCAGGAGACCTGCGGACGCTGGCCGCCAAGTGACCCCAGCTTCAGCCTTCAGCCCGCACCGGCCGAATGGGGGCGGGGAGGAAGAGGATGGGCGGGAGAGATTTCCTCCCAGAGGGGATGGTCTGAGAACCCGCGGGAGAAGGTCCGGGAGAGGACCCGGTCACCTACTCCCCTGTCCTTGCACGCGAAGACTGGGATTTCACCACCCCTCTTGGAAAGGAGGCTTTTGGGGTGGACACACCCTCTGTCCCTAGGGCAAGTGTGTCGTCAGCATCCCCAAGTCTGCCAGGGAAGACTCGTGCATCCTCCACTGTCTCCCAGTTGCCCTGCGGGGAGGGCAGCGCATCAGGGACTCCTGGTCTGTCGCTCCTGTCCAGCTAGACGATCCCGGGGCAAGGCAAACCTGTAGGGGCTTCCTATAGATCTCTGTCACACACGATTCACATGGGCACCCAGGGTGTGTGGGGGGGGGGGGCGGGTATCAGCTACCTGGAAGAGCGCTGATGAGTCCCCACTTCGGTCCTTTATCCTGGAGTGTTGCAGTGAGGAGGCCCACCGTGCTGACTGGGCATCCATTCACTTGTTCCTCAGTTATTAGCGCCAGTCACTAGCAAACTACAAGACAGAGGGATGAAGACCCCACTACCCACTAAAACTTCATTTTAATCATTTCCATCCTGGGCCACCGGTCCCCACATCCCTGGCCTTTCTGCCTTATCAGAACCTTCTGAGACCCAACCTCTCTCACATCTGAAGTTCTTTGGTTTCCCTGCAAAAAAGCACCTGTCCTGTACCAATGTCAAATACTGCACTAGGCACCAGGGACCTAACACTGATGAGCCGGATTTTTGCCTACAAGGAGCTCACAGGCCAGTGGGGCTACCTAGCCTGTCCTGTTAGTTTCCATGGCGCTGTGTATCCCTCTGGTTTGTCCCCACCAGCCCCGTGAGCGCCTGGTAAGGGGCGGGGGGGGGGGGGGGCGGTGAGCCCTGGGGAAGGTTTTCAGAAGAGGCGTCCTTTGAGCCCAATCTTTAGGAGAAGCCAGATATTGAAGGGAACTGCCTGAGAGTCCTTTGCTTAGCTCCTGGTCCTGGGATGTGCCCCTGGCTGCATTAGATACAAATGCTTCCCCTGCATTCTCTGCTAGTTGTAGTATCTCACAGGGTCCTCTAGCTGAAGAATCACTGTGTCTGTCACAGACTAGAGGCTTCCAGAGGGCAGGAACCCAGGAAATCTAATCAACTATTTCTGGCACATGCCAAGAGCTACTGCGAAGGTAAGATCCCCTTGACTTTTCACTTTGATGATGACAATGGTAGGAGCGGGCAGTTCCTATACTGTTTTTTTTTTTTTTTTACAGTCTTTACCTGTGTCCTTCACTCCTCTCTCCCCACGACAATGTCCTTTGTCAGTTTCTGTTTCTATTTCTCCATCCTCTGCCCCGCTTCTCTGTGTGTACATCTAGAATAGTTTTGTTTTTGTTTTCCTTTTTCAGAAGCTTCTCATATTAACTGCATCTTTTTTTCCCTCCATTTTCTTGGAGTCTTTCTTCCACTCACCCCGCCTATTTCTCTGTAGTGTCCCTTTTCCGTCTCTGTATATCACAGCTATGTTTTCCCTTTTTCACCTTTTGCTTCATCCCACAGTTTCTCCCCGCCTTTGTCTCTTGCGCTACTTTCTTCCCTTCCAAACGTAGCATTTCGAGACTGTAACATCGATTGAAGCAGACAATGGAAAACTGTCCAACCTCCACTGTAAATTCATTCTTAATCCTACGAAAAATGCAACCTGAAACGTATTGCACAGAGACAAAAACCTCTGTCTTCGCCGTTCCTGAAATCCAACCTGGGGGTGGGGTAGGAGGTAGGCGGTGGAGGAAAGTGCTGGAGAAATTATCCCATCATTGACTGAACAACAACGAATTTTCAATTACAATGATCCTCTGATTTGCTATAGAAAAAGTATCTCTGCCATTTCAAAACGAAATTTGGCATTTTAGGGGTTGAGAAAATAACGCTTAGGTTTTCCTTTTAACAGAAAAGGAGAAAAGGACTGCGTCCCTGGGTGGGCTCGAACCACCAACCTTTCGGTTAACAGCCGAACGCGCTAACCGATTGCGCCACAGAGACTCCGACAGCTGCCAGCGTCGCGGCGAGCCGAGTCAATGGGAGCGAGCCTACGACGGCGCAAGACTGCAACGGAAACCCTGCAGTCAGGCGAAAGAAGTCAGACTCTGGGGAGAAAGCAAAGGGTCCCGGTCGAGGGAGGGGAGGAGGAGGGACCTTCACGTCTTATGCACTGGTTCTGGGAGAGGTAGTCGCCGGCTTCCTCCGGATCTCTCTTAGAGGAAGATAAGATGGGGAAACCCGAAACGTCCTTTTTTAGGGTGACCTGAGTCTTGGGGATACATGAAGTCGACCTCCTGAGAGTCCCCAAAAGCATAACAACCTTTGGTCTCCAAACGTCCCCTTTGCAGCTGAACCCCTGCCGCTCCGCAGTACACCCGCGACGCCCTCCCCTGCTCCTCCTCCTCGAAACATTAAA